CCCCAGCCCCCGCCACTCACGGAGGTGGGAGAAGGCTCGGCCGGTGCCTCTGCCCAGAAGAGGAAGACGGACTTCAGCTCGGCGGTCAGGGCAGCGGCGGTGGGCGTGTCCGCCATGCGGCAGGGGGCGCTGTGGTTCCAGGCGACAGAGCCAGACTGACCGTCCACCACAAGCATCTGCAGAGGACAAGACGGGGCGTGGCCAGCGCAGGGCAGCGGCCAGCCTGCCAGCTCACACGCAGCCCGCGCCCCAGCACACGCCTGCCGTCCCAGCTACTCGGGAGGCTGAGATCTGAGGATGGTGGTTAGAGGCCCGGCCCAGGCGGGGAAGTCTGGGAGGCTCTCATCTCCAGTGAACAGACGAAAAGTCGGAAGTGGCCGGGCTCCGGTGGCTCGCGCCTGTCATCCCAGATACTCAGGAGGCTGAGATCTGAGACCGCAGTTCAAAGCCAGCCAGGGCAGGAAAGTTCCTGAGACTCTGATCTCCAAGGAACCACCAGAAAACTGGAAGTGGCGCTGCACTTCAAGTGGTAGAGCGCCAGCCTTGAGTGAAAGACCTCAGAGATAGTGCCCAGGCCCTGAGTTCAAGCCCCAGGACTGGCACACACACACACACACACACACACACACACACACACACACACACACCCAGGCTCGGTGCGGACCCTGCCTGGCCTCCCATGCCTGACTCATCTCTCTGTTATTGTAATTATCTGGGGAATCTGGTCTGACCGGGCAGCTGTGGCCTCGCCCGTGGCCAGCCCCAGGGGACAGAGCTTTCCCCCCCACCCCCCACGCACAGCTGGAAGGGGAAAGGAGGCCCTGCCTGTAATCCCGGGCCGAGCTCTGGCCTGGTGTTGAGGGCAGCTGAAGCCCCTGCCTGAAACCGCCATCCAAATCTCCCCAGCTCTGGGTCTTCCAGAAGCATCTGAGAACTTTGTTGGGGTTTTTTGGGGGGGGGTTGAGAGGGGTTGCCAGTCATGGGACTTGAACTCAGGGCCTGGACACTGTCTCCTGAGCTCTTTCACTCAAGGCGGGCGCTCTACCACTTGAGCCACTGCGCCACTTCCAGTTTTCTAGTGCTTCATTGGAGATCAGAGTCTCAGGGACTTTCCTGCCTGGGCTGGCCTCAAACCATGATCCTCTAGATCTCAGCCTCCTGAGTCGCTGGGATGACAGGCGTGAGCCACCAGCATCTGGCAGTGTCTGGGAACGTTACAAGTGGAGCGTGTGGGGTGTGACACCCGCACGTGCACCTCGTTCTACAGTGGTGGGGGGGGCTGCTCACAGACACGACCCGGGGGCGGGGGGGGGGGACCGCCCAGGATCATGCGTGCACTGAACTGATGTGTTTACCCAGCCCTGCCCGGTTTCAGACAAGACTTCTTGTCCAACCACACCGAAGGTTCCAGAAGGAACATAGCAAGGAGATTCACCCAGGACGCGTCTGTGGCAAGCTGTCTGTGCGCGTCCAGCCGGACCCCGAGGCCCGGGGGACAAGGCCTCCTTCCTCCCCGCCCGCGCATGCGCGCCCCGGGCCCCACCTTGCGCACCCCAGTGCTGTCGCTGAGCTGCAGGAGGAAGTCCAGCGTCTGGTCGTCGGTGAAGTAGCCGGGCGTGGGCTGGCTGCAGAAAGCACAGGACGATGGGGGACAAGAGAGGAACGGCGGGTCTCCCACCCCCCCAAAAAAAAAAGAAGCAGCAATGTTCTAGGGTGTATTTTGGGAGGGGGAGAGGGCTTGAACTCAGGGCCTGGGCGCTGTCCCTGAGCTCTTTCACTTGAGCCTGGCGCTCTACCACCTGAGCCACAGCTCCATTCTGGCTTTCTGGTGGTTCATTGGAGATCAGAGTCTCAGGCACTTTCCTGCCCGGCCTGGCCTCAAACTGTGATCCTCGGGCCTCAGCCTCCTGCGTAGTGGGGATGGCAGGTGTGAGCCCCAGGTGGACAGGCAGACTTGGGGGGCGGGGGGTGGACAGACCTGCGCAGGCCCGGGAGGCGCAGCATCCAGCGCGGCACGAGGCTCTGCCCGGCCAGCAGGACCAGGCCCTGCCTGGTGGTGAGGAGGAGGTCGCTGCCGTTCGAGTCCAGGGCCTTCACCACCTGGAGCTGCTCCACGCCGTCGCTGGATTGGACAAGAGCCTGGGGTGGGCGGGTCTTCCCGGACGCCCGAGCACATGCGCCATCCGCAGCCCGTGCCTGGCCACAGGCCCACAGAGGACCGAGCGTCCACGGACACGCACGCATCCCTGGGCCTTTTATTTCATTTTATTTTTTACTTGGGGCCTGGGCGCCGTCCCTGAGCTCTTTCACTCAAGGCTGGCGCTCTACCACTTGAACCACAGCACCACATACGGTTTTCTGCTGGTTCATTGGAGATCAGAGCCTCACAGACTTTCCTGCCTGGGCTGGCTTTGAACCGGGATCCTCAGATCCCAGCCTCCTGAGCGGCTGGGATGACAGGCGTGAGCACCGGCGCCCGCTATCCTCGCTGAGGACTTAGGAGGCAAAGATCTGAGGATGGCGGTTCAAATCCAGGCCGGGCAGGAAAGTTGCTGTGAGACTCTCATATCCCACGAACCATAGAACAGCGAACGGTGGAGCACCAGCCGTGAGCCTCGGCTGTGAGTTCAAGCCCCAGGACCAGCTCAAGAAAACACACACACACACACACACACACACACACACACACCATCATCAACAACGACACACTGCGGCCGGTCACATTTCCCCTCCTGCTCCCGCTCTGAGCCCAGGACGCCTAACACCGTCGCCACCGCCGAATACCTGTACACGGGGATGAGCTCCGACGCGTTGGCCGCGCGCCGCCGCTCCCAGGCCGGCTCCGCCGCCTGCAGGGATGCGGGCAGGGGCCCCGGGCTCTGGGCCTGCAGGAGCAGGTCGCGCAGGGCCACCGCCTGGATGTTTCCTAGGGCCACAGGAAGAATGACACGGCGAGGTCTGGGTGGGGGGTCTCCCGGGACCCACGCCAGAATGCACGCGGGGAGGTGGCAGCTCTCAGCGGGAAGAAAGGGAGGCCGGGAGACGGGAGGCCGAGGAAGGGAGGCCGAGGAAGGGAGGCCCGGGTGACGGGAGGCCGAGGAAGGGAGGCCGGGAGACAGGAGGCCGAGGAAGGGAGGCCGGGAGACAGGAGGCCGAGGAAGGGAGGTCAGGAGACAGGAGGCTGAGGAAGGGAGGCTGGGAGACAGGAGGCTGAGGAAGGGAGGCCGGGAGACGGGAGGCCGAGGAAGGGAGGCCGGGAGACAGGAGGCTGAGGAAGGGAGGTCAGGAGTCAGGAGGCTGAGGAAGGGAGGCTGGGAGACGGGAGGCTGAGGAAGGGAGGCTGGGAGCCGGGAGACTGAGGAAGGGAGGCCGGGAGACGGGAGGCCGAGGAAGGGAGGCCGGGAGACAGGAGGCTGAGGAAGGGAGGCTGGGTTGTCAGGAGGCTGAGGAAGGGAGGCCAGTGTCTCCCCCCCATCGCCCCGTCCTGTCCCCCCTGCCCGGCCGGGCCGCTTACCGAAGCCGAACAGCACGTAGACGGCCCCGCTGGCGGTGGTGTAGAGCTGGGGGCCGATGAGGTTGCCCACCCCCACACCGTCGTAGCGCACGGCGCGCCCCACGGGGGTCCCCGCGCGGCCGGAGACCAGCAGAAAGCACAGGTCGGGCTGAGGGGAGGAGGGAGGTCAAGTGGGCCGGCGGCAGCACAGAGCCGCGCGTGCTGGCGGCCGGCGCTGGCAGGTGGGAGGCCTGGAGGCCCCGGAACGGAGGCCGGGCGGCGTGCAGAGGCCCGGGCAGTCACCCGGGGCCAGGGCCTGGCAGACGGCGGGCCGGCCCGCGTGTGGAGGGGCAGCGCCCCTGGAAGTGGCCGACCCCCCCACACACACACACACACGAGGGCCGAACCTGCGCGTCCCCCACGGCCAGCAGCAGCAGGTCCCGGGCGCCGTCCCCGTCCAGGTCCGGCAGGAGCGCCGCGGGCGCTGCCAGGGTGCCATTGGCCAGGTGCTCAGGACGGAGCGTCCACACGGCCTCACCTGCGGGGAGGGGGGGAGAGGGGGAGGGGGAGGGGAGGACGGGGCTGAGGACCCCCCTCCCCTCGGCCCCTGCACCGGTTCCCCTGCAGAAGAGCTGAGCCTCAGCCCTGGCCTTCCCGGATTCAGTCACGTCTCAGATGAGGCCCAGCATGGAGGCCGGCCTCTAACCACCATACTCCTCCCCTGGGCCTCCCAGTCCCTGAGCTGCGGCGCTCGGCCATGTGAAGCCACCAGCCCCCCTCCCCTGGCCTGAGGTTTCCCGGCCATGCCGGCCCGGGCAGGCTCTTTGTCTTCCATCCAGGATTTGCAGCCAAGGGGCCCCGGGCTGTTCCTGCCCGGAGAACTCGGCCTGGCGCCATCTTTGTGCCAAACAGGCTGGAGCAGCCTCTGATCTTACCTGACGCGGCCCTGTAGGCCCCGAGCGCCCGGCGCGATCCCGTCACCAGGCAGAGCGCCTCGGCCCCGCGCCCCGGCTCCAGGTCCACGCAAGCCACGTGCTGGGCCTCCTCCGGGAGGGGCGTGGACCACAGCGTGCTGCCGTTCATGCCGGACAGGCACAGCAGATGAGCACTGGGGCCGGAGCCCGGGCCACCTGGGAACAAGGGGCATGGTGGGTGGGAAACGGGGAGGAGGGAGAGAGAGGGGCAAGTCCTGAGTTCAAATCCCAGAATCACTAAAAAAAAAAAAAACAACAAGGAGGAGACAGGGAAGGAGGGGGGAGGGAGAGGAGGGGAGAGGAGGGGAGGGGAGGGGGGCAGGGCAAGGGCTGTGTGCTCAGGCTGGCCTCAGGCCCCTGTCAGAGCTGGGTGTGCGTGCGCGCATGCGTGGGGGGGGAGTCCTGGGGCTTGAACTCGGGGCCTGGGCGCCGCTCTCACCTCCCGCGCTGCGGTTCCCGGGCCTCACCAGGGCCAGCAGCACGTCCCGCAGGCCGTCCCCATTCACGTCGGCCAGGTCCAGAGGAGCCAGGTCCCCTCCTGAGCGCACACAAGGGAAGAAGGGCCTGAGCGGAGCCCCGGGCAGCCGCTGGGGCGGGGGGCGGGGAGAGACTTCAGCACCCCAGGACCCAGAGGACAGGCGGGGCGCACCCCACCCTGCTCCCCAGAATCCACTCCACATTCCCTGAGGAGCGGGAGACCCTGGGTGGAGGGCCAAAGGTTGAAGTGACGCTGTGGCTCAAGTGGTAGAGCGCCAGCTTTGAGTGAAAGAGCTCAGGGATGGTGCCCAGGTCTCGGGTTCAAGCCCCAGGACCGGCACAGAAATCAATCAATCAATCAATCAATCAAATCAAACTGGCTGGGTGTTGGTCCCACACGCTGTAACCCTCGCTCTCGGGAGGCTGATTGTGAGGACCATCATTTGAGGCCAGTGTGAGCAAAAGAAAACATAATAAGCCGATGTTTGGAAGACTCCCTGTCAACCCACAGCTGCAGCCACACCTGTGACTTCAATTTGCCTCAGGAGGGGGGAGGAGGGGGAGGATCGGGGAACCGGGGATCAGAGCGCCGTCCCCCAGCGGAGGAAGGGGCAGACATGACGCCCTTCTTCCCGAGATGGTCTGGGGCGGGGGAACGGCCTGGTGAGTTTCTCGGTGAGCTGAGGAGGAACCCCACAACCCTGCATCCCGGAAGACTGAGTCACGGCACCCAGCCACCCCCCTCTGGGCGAGAAAGTGAGACGGAATTATTTTGGAGCTGACATGAGGTCTGGCCTGGGGTCCACCAAGGGCCCTGGGCACGGGTGCAGCCCGGGGATTCGAAGCTGCCTGTCCTCTGAAGACAGTCCCACCACACTCAGCCTGTCCCACCAGCATCTGCCTAATACCTGGGACCCAGCATGCATCTCGGGGCCCACCTGAGCCCACGGCCAGGCATCCATCTTGGGGCTCACCTGTGCACCACACTCCAGAGCTCACCTGTGCCTACGGGCAGGTGTGTGTCTTGGAGCTCACCTGCACTCATGGGCAGGTATGTCTTGGGGCACCTGAGCCCTGTGGGCAGGCGTGTGTCTCGGGGCTCACCTGTGCCCATGGCCAGGTGTGCATCTCGAGGCTCACCTGCACCCATGGCCAGGTGTGCATCTCAGGGCTCACCTGTGCCCCAGGCCCCGGAGCTCACCTGTGCCCACAGGCAGGTGTGGGTCTTGGAGCTCACCTGCGCCCATGGCCAGACATGCATCTTGGGGCTCACCTGCACCCATGGGCAGGTGAGTCTCGGGGCTTACTTGCACCCATGGCCAGGCGTGCAACTCGGGGCTCATCTGTTCCAGTGCCCCTGAGGTCACCTGCACCCACGGGCGGGTCTGAGTCTTGGGGCTCACCTGAGCCCGCGGGCAGGCATGTGTCTCGGTGCTCACCTGTGCGCATGGCCAGGCGTGCATCTTGGTACTCACCTGCGCCCATGGCCAGGCATGAGACTCAGGGCTCACCTGCGCCCGCAGGCAGGCATGCATCTCGGTGCTCACCTGCGCCCATGGCCAGGCATGAGACTCGGGGCTCACCTGCGCCCGCAGGCAGGCATGCGTCTCGGTGCTCACCTGCGCCCATGGCCAGGCATGAGACTCGGGGCTCACCTGCACCCATGGCCAGGCATGCGTCTCGGTGCTCACCTGCACCCATGGCCAGGCATGCGTCTCAGTGCTCACCTGCACCCATGGCCAGGCATGTGACTTGGGGCTCACCTGCACCCATGGCCAGGCATGAGACTCGGGGCTCACCTGCGCCCGCAGGCAGGCATGTGTCTCGGTGCTCACCTGTGCCCATGGCCAGTCATGCGACTCGGGGCTCACCTGAGCCCGCGGGCAGGCATGCGTCTTGGTGCTCACCTGGGCCCATGGCCAGGCATGAGACTCGGGGCTCACCTGCGCCCGCAGGCAGGCATGCGTCTCGGTGCTCACCTGTGCCCATGGCCAGGCGCACATCTCGGGGCTCACCTGTGCCCCCCCGCCCCGGAGCTCACCTGCACCGGCGGCCAGGCGTCGGATCCAGGTGCTGTGCAGGTCTCGCGGCGGGCAGGGGATGAGGAAAGCGCACAGCAGCACCAGCACCATGGACAGGAGCAGGGTGAGCAGGAAGACGGCCGTGCGCACGCAGGCAGCCAGCGAGCCAGCCACCTTGGGCTCCAGGCCCCCGGGGGGCTCGGCCGGGAAGCCCTGGGCGCCAGCCTCGGGGGCACGGGGTGGAGCGGGCCCCACGCCCTCCACATCCGAGTCGGGGGCCTCTCCCCGGGGGCCCTGGCCGTTCTTCACGCCGCCATTCTTCTGCGGCGTGGCCAGCACCAGGTCATCCTCGCTCTCGTCGCTGTCCGCCTGCGTGAGCGGGTCATACTCCCCCAGATCCGGGCTCTTCTTGCCTGCAAGGCCGGCAGGGGTCACTGGTGCACTCCACATGCAGACGTCCACAACCAGCCCCAAGGCCGGGGGCCAGGGAGGGGTGCCCCAGGATGTAGCCCAGCAACACACACACACACACACACACAAAATACATCTTCATCCTTTAAAAAAAAATCAGAGTTAGGTGCTAATGGCTCACGCCTGTCACCTCAGCTCTTCAGGAGACTGAGATCTGAGGATCGTGGTTCAAAGCCAGCCACGGCAGGAAAGTCCGTGAGACTCTGATCTCCAATAAACCACCAGAAAACTGGAAGTGGCGCTGTGGCTCAAGTGGTAGAGCCCAGCCTTGAGTGAAAGAGCTCAGGGACAGCGCCCAGGCTCTGAGTTCAAGACCCAGGACTTACAAAAACAAAAAAGACAAAATTAAATGTCTTTGAAAAGGGGAGGGGAAAAGGGAGAGTGAGTGTGAGAAAGAGAGAGAGAGAGAGAGAGAAAGAGAGAGGGAGAAAGAGAGAGGGAGAGAGAAACAGTATATAATCATAATCCCTAATCTCAACTCAAGTAGTAAAACAAACCACAACAATAACTCTGAGCTCTAAGAGCCCCAGGCATGTTTGACCTTCAAACTTTAAAATGGCCTCAAGAAAAATATATACCTAAGAGATAAGCCGGGCCACAGGCTTCAAGGAGGCCCTATTGTTACCCTGAGTTACTGATTAACTTCACAGTGTGGTCAGGGCCCAGTTCTTTCCAACCCCAGCTCAGGAAAGGGTCCTGGCTCCTGAGGACCACTCCTAGCACCCCAAGCTCGGGCTAGCTGAGTCTCATCACCAGGCTGCTGCTGGATTGAACTTATCCTGAAGCTGTCACTCTTGTAAATGACATGGTTCATGGAGATCACAATGGCCAACTTGTCAGAAATTCATCCAGCCATCCCTTTGTCTCTTTTTCAGCTCTAAACAAACATGCAATGGGGTGGTAGAGAATATTCTAGCATCGCACTATCATGACAGAGGACACTGGGAGGCCTGCTCCTAGCCGGCTCTCTCCTCCCTTCTCAGCGGAGCAGAGACCGGGCTGGATGAGCTCACCACACTCGGTGACCCGGGTACCCCACAGCCCGCCACGGGGGCATCCCTACCTGCTGTACGAACGCAGCTTCTCCCAGACAGGAAAGATAACAAGTGGATTTGCAAGAGAAAGACCTGGCTGGGCAGGTGGCTCAGTGGTAGAGTGCTCGCCTAGCATGCACGAAGCCCTGGGTTCGATTCCTCAGTACCACATACACAGAAAAAGCCAGAAGTGGCACTGTGGCTCAAGTGGTAGAACACCAGGCTGGAGCAAAAGAAGCTCAGGGACAGCGCCCAGGTCCTGAGTTCAAGCCCCAGGACTGGGGAACAAAAGAGAGGGAGTGGGGAGGGAGAGAAGGGGGAAAGGGAGAGAGGGGGGAGGGAGAAAAAAAGAGAAAGGCCTAGAGAACAGAGATAGAGAAGACAATCCCGGGCCAGGAGGCCACGCGCCAATCCCTCCACAGCAGCCCACTGTGTGCCCACAAGAGAACGCACGGTGAACACATTCACCTTCCGTCACAGCCCAAAGGCAGAGTCTCCTGCCAGGCGCCAGCGGCTCACGCCTGTAGTCCCAGCTACTCCAGAGGCTGAGATCATGGTTGAAAAGCTCTTAATTTCTGATGAACCACTGAAAGCCAAAGGTGGAGCTGTGGCTTACGTGGTAGAGAGCCAGCCTTGAGAGAAAAAAGTCAAGGACAATGCACAGGTCTGGAGTTCAAGCCCCGGGACTGGCACATGCGAGCACACGCGCGTGCGCCTGCACACACACGCACACACATGCAAACCCTGTGGTTTTATTCTCAGAGAAAGAGAGAGAAGGAAGGAAGGAAGGAAGGAAGGAAGGAAGGAAGGAAGGAAGGAAGGAAAGATAAACATAAAGGACATTTCAAGGCCCCTGTGAGGAGCTACTGCCTGACTCTGAGGCCTGCTGTGGAGGCCCGCCGTGGAGGGCTCACCATGGAGGCCCAATGCTGCTCCTCCTCTCAAAGGAAAGCAACCTCCAGCTCTTAACCTCATTTCCAAACAAACCTCTGAAGACAGATAGCATCAATGTTCTTTGAAAGTTCTAATGAGCCCATGAGGAAAAAGAAACCTGGAGCCATGAGGCCTGGTAACAGGAACTCAAATTCAAATTCATGTCGGCCCAGGGCCAGGCAGCACCAGCCTGCGGTGTCCAGTCCCCAGGCTCCGGCCAGGTTCAGCCAGACCCACCAGCCCTCCCCACAGCTCCCCATTTTACAGCCATCTGCAAAACAAATGCTTATGAGGGGATGTTTGGAAAAAGGGGATTTTGATAGAACCCCGAATCTTTCCACAGCCTTAGCATTTAGAATCTACCTGGGCAGAAGAAATACGCTCTTCATGGAATGCAGCAGAGAGCCTGCCAGGGAAGTTTCAGGTGAAGGTGAGACAGAGACACACAACAGAGACAGAGACAGACAGATACACAGAGACAGAGACAGACAGATACACAGAGACAGAGACAGACAGAGACACACACAAAGACAGACAGGAAGAAGAGAGGAGAGACAGACAAAGATAAAAGGACAGAGAGAACCTGGCGCTGCCGCCTCCTGGACACAGCGGGCACACTTGCCCAAAGCCCAGGTGTCCAGCATGTCACCCATCACCGGCACAGGTGCCCAGCATGTCACCCAGCCCTGAGTGCAGGTGTCCATCATGTCACCCAGCCCTGAGCGCAGGTGTGGATCATGTCACCCATCACCGGCACAGGTGTGGATCCTGTCACCCATCACCGGCACAGGTGTGGATCCTGTCACCCAGCCCTGAGCACAGGTGTCCATCATGTCACCCAGCCCTGAGCACAGGTGTCCATCATGTCACCCAGCCCTGAGCACAGGTGTGGATCATGTCACCCAGCCCTGAGCACAGGTGTCCATCATGTCACCCAGCCCTGAGCACAGGTGTGGATCATGTCACCCAGCCCTGAGCACAGATGTCCATCATGTCACCCATCACGGGCACAGGTGTGGATCATGTCACCCATCACGGGCACAGGTGTGGATCATGTCACCCAGCTCTGAGCACAGCTGTGGATCCTGTCACCCATCATGGGCACAGGTGTCGATCCTGTCACCCTGACTGATCAGACACGGTGTCCATCGTGTCACCCTGACTGATCGATCGGGCACGGGCGCCGGTCCCTCCCCTCCGGCCCCAGCACCTCGGCCCTCGGGCCGGCCGGGTCCATCGGGTTCCCGGGCAGCTCGGAGCAGGCTCGGCCCGGCGCTGCTCCG